CAATTTCTAACAAACACAAAGTAGGCTCTGATACTACTATTGTGAATCTATTTAATGTACGCAGTGGAAATTAAAGTCATTTTTCGATTTTCACCAAGAATTGTCTTTTTGTTTAGATAGAAATTGTGATAAAAGATATACCTTTGAAAAATTATGCAAACCTTTTGCCATTCTTTTCGTTCCAGCAACTTTGATATGTCACCCACAGCTGTTCAATTGTCCAGCCTACAACGGTGATCTACAAAGAGAACAAGATTGCAGGATTATGGTTTTCTCCTCTTGTGCCGCAAGAATGAATTCTATACTAAATTGTAAACCCTAATAAATTATTTATATAAGCCCAAACGAGCTTGGTTTAACCCGATCCAATATTTAATTAATCCATTTAATTGAATTCAGTCCGTGAATTAATTAATCCAATTAATTAATTCGGCTTATAAATAACCAAGCAAATTAATTAATTTATCAAATGATTGTTAAATTAATTAGTTGACAAATTGCAATCTTTCAATTATCTTTTGTGTGCGACCCATCAAGTTCCCGATCACGATACCTAACAACGCGAAATGTTATTTTGATCTAAATAAATTAAAACACCCTTTTAATTTATCACAAATTCACACTCGTCGTCCCAGATTGACATCTGACAATGTGTCAGGACAATACATGTGACGTGGTATGACAAAACCAAACTCGTTCGTTTACCGTGAAACTATAATCCCTTTGTCAATATGATCTGATCAATTACGAGATATGAAAATGTGTCAATTCCAATGATCGATCATATCCTTCACTCCACTATTAAGTCAATATAAGTTGACACTCCTTTTCGACTTATGAGTATACATTGACCAAAAATTTCGTTATTGACTTAATTGAATGAAACGCAGATCATAATCTCTTACTATCTAAGAGTAACGAATCCTCTATTGGTAATTCACAACCTTCATACGATTCTTGACATACCCGAACGATGTCGTATTAGCGGCCCTTGACAAAGCAATATCCAACATCGCCAAAGTATGACTATCCTCATATAAGGTACCATGACGACCTCAAGTCAAAGAACTAAGTCCACTATCGAACGTTAGAGATTAACCACTGACACTCAGATAGTTATCTATATGAAATCTCTCGGTGGGTTTCCAATGTTTTGTTTTATAACAAAACATCCACGTGTTCATTTAAATGTCACGACACTTTAGTTTGTGAGATCAGCTACTTACTTTACAAGTAAGAAATGCCACACGTGATGGTCTATTCGTAATAACGATATCCGTATCTCGTTATTACTCGCTACCACGGACAATTTAAGATTCAATCATATGTAATTTGTATCTCATAATCACAACTCCTTGTAATTAATAAATTAAGAAGATTTGAATCTACGAACTTTATTATTTAATTTAATTGTATATTAATTAAATAATAGATCTGCCATTAAATTGCATTAATTATATATTGAAAGTATTTATGTCGAAGGTTGATTGAATTTAGGGCATAACACTTACAGTTTTTGGATGTGTTGCTTGAATTTGCGTTGCATCTTTTGAAATGTTGATAATTTTATTGATTGCTTCATCCATGGTTTATTTCATGTCCACATCCAAATTCGTGTCGTCTCCATGTCCATGTCCACGTCCACGTCCTTATCTTGATATTGTATTTACTTCAGGCAATGCAGTACAATTTGTTTCAAGTAATGGTACAAAACCAATTAGACATAACCTATGATTTTTCATCAGCAGTTCATTATTTTGTTCAATTACAAATAGTAAAGGTAAGAGTATTAAATACTTTTTGAAACCACGCTCATGATATTACTATTGCGAAAGCACATTCGATGCATCTAAAGATGGCAATCAGGCTTGTAAGCTTGGGTCGCCTGTGACTCGGTTCGAAAAATGCTTGAGCCCCATTTTTAGGTGCCAGGCAAAGTTCGAACCGGCCTTTGTGGCTTGCCAACTAGGGAGAATCGAGCATATATTTAAAAAATAATAATAATAAAAGGCTGCCTTAAAAGGTAGCATGCTGCTGCCAAAAATATGCAACATGTTGTTGCCTAACAAGGCAGCAACCTGCTGGCTTTTTAATTATTAAAACAAAATCAAAAGTAAACAAAATTCAAGCTGGCTAGGTTCAGCTCGAAAAGGCTCGAGCCGAAAGCTCGGGTCGAGCCTAATTTTTTTTGCCTAGCTTTTGCTCAGCTCGCCTCGGGCCCGGAAAAAAGTTTGGACATTTTACTTGAGCTGAGCCAAAAATTTTGGTTCACAAGTCAGCTCAACTCGGCTCGTTGACATCCATAAATGCATCCAACATGTCATCCAATCATAATTGACTTTTGGGAGGACTATAATCCACAGATGATCAAATCTTTCAATCAATTTTATTTAAAGAACATGTGGATATTTCTCAGTGAGGTATTCGACATTCAATGCATCATGAAGATGATGATGAATGAAAATAAGTGCTTTTACACGATTCTGCAAATATTCTTTTTTTTCTTCTTCTTTTTTTTCTCTCCCAAACCTTTTGAGATAAGATGATAGTTTTTATCAAATATGTTATGTGCAACAAACTTATGTTTTGTGATGCTTTCCATTTGATTAACTACACAATAAAACAATAGAAAATATAATTAATTTCGAAAAATATGATTAAACGTTATATAATTACATAATAATTAATTAGGTAGTTAATGTCAACAAGAAATGAATTACATGTTTTCTTTCATGACTAAACACTAATTAAAAATAATATATTTTTCTAAACATGTGTTACTTTGAAAGCACGTTGTACTTTTCTATTGTTTCTTCAAGAGCAATATGTCAATATTTTTCTGGAATATTGAAAATTATAATTCAAGCTTTTCAGGAGCAAGTAATATTCTTCAGGAATATTAATTATAATGTTATGTTATTTTAGAAGCAACAACAAACTATTTATAATATACATATTTACGATTAATGTTATTCTGAAATACTAATAACAAAGTTGTGCTATTTCAGGAGTAATAACATGATAAATAATTAATTTAAAGTTATTAAGATAACATAAACAAATTTAATCATGTGAAAGACACAAAAAAAACATTAATAATCATCATAAACGTATATTTTACATCCACTCAAAGAAAAAAAAATTAGAGCAAAAGCTACATGAATTGACTTGAGTTCATTAATTGCGAATTGAATTAAAAAATTGATATATTAACGTGCGTTAAAAAAAAAAATTTTAATTTTTTGTTCAAACGGGACAATAGTAACTTGGCGCAGCTCATGAATTGGTTTAATCATTAAATCATGCAAAGTTATATACATAAAGAATTGAAAAAGTGAATTAAGGAGTAATGTGCATAGACATGCATTAGTGGAATCGTGAATTGAGAAAGTAAACACTATAAGTACAGCATGGATTGAAGACGAATCTGTATATATGAATTAAAGATCCACATAAATTGATTGCGTCGACAAATTGATTTGGGCGAAATCAAAAGGCATGGGAATCATTATGATATACTGAAAATTATAGATTTGCGTACAAGCAAAAAAACACAGAAGAAGTAGGCAACATCCTCGTTTTGATGCATATATATGTAGAAAAATTCACATGTAATCAAATTAATTTAGGTACACGTGATAAATAATTATGCTTATAAAAAATTAGTAGCTTCACTAAATTTTTAAAAATTAAACTTTTGTGCCGATAACGTGTTATGAAAAAAAAAAGGGAATAAAAGTCAATAATTTATATATTAACCAAAACCCCTTATTTATAGGGAATGATTAGGGATGCGCTGATAATAATTTCTAGAATTATAGGTGTACAATTATCATTAACTAATAAACTTATCATTGGCAACAAATTTCTTTTTTTCTTTTTAAAAATAATAAATAATACTTTTCAATTATTCGCATCAAGTCATATATAGTATGTCAAAGTGTGTAAAAGTACTTTGACAATTAGGAAAATTACCCCCATCAGTCTCAACTTATTGTTCCAGTAGCAACTTGATTCCTGACTTTTGAGAAATAAAAACTTAGTCCCTTAAGCACAATCAATGCCATTGACGAAATCGTCCAAATATTTGTTAAATTATCACATGCTCTTCTTGAAAATATGTTGCACTTTATATCTTTTGGTGTCAGTCCATGCGACAAAAACTTAATCTTGTAAAATTAAACACATAAAGATATAGTTTGATTATCATATACTCCAGTAAAAGAACCAACTTACTACAACAAACGATGCAATTCTTCCCTCTTTCGCGTCTAGAATATGCCCCTTGCATATCCTATATCTATGTCGTGCCAATTATGACGTTTTGATTGATATTTATACATGTAACTATGTATCTATATCCCCATTTGCTAGGAATTGAAATCAAAATTTTAACCTAAGTCAAAGTTAATAATTAATTTTAACTACACATTTTATATGATTTACAACTTTTCAATCACATATTTAATCAACTTTTATCAAAATTTACTAAAAATCTTATTTTAATTCCACCAATCAAGGATTATATATAAGTCTAGATCAAGAAGAAAGATTACTTTGTTCTCTCTTGTAGTTATTCCTCTTCGGATGAGGCTGTCACACACATGCCCAATTACAGTTGCATATATGCTTGCACATGCACTATGTTCCCTGCCAGAATCAAAATACAACTGTTCCACTTGTCTTCACTAGAAAAAATAACTATATTATAATAAAATCATTCACTTTTGTACAAAAACACCTTTTATTGGAAGCCCCTCTCCCCATCCATTTCCTTTCTCATATTGCGCCTTAGCTTCAACCTGTGAACTTTTAATCCCTCTACTGATAAAAGGAGTATTAGAATCTTTACTTGGATAGGAAAGTTTTTTGTTTTATTTTTTCTTTTTGGGCAACAAACAAGAAAGAGTAGGTCTAGTACAAGAATTCACTTCCTAAAGTACCGGCATAGGCTTTACGCCGAGCCATTGAAAGGTGAGTAAAGCACTAGAGATGAAGACTACCCGAATGCCATCCCGTTCTTCAAATATTAATCGATCATTATCAAAGTGACTACAAATTTGAAGATTCACTAGACCAAGGAGTATAGCATATAGAAGAGACAACAAAATCTGTCTATACCTATGAATTACTTCCAAATATACCCCAACACATGGCTAGTTCAAAATCTTGAAAATATAACAGAGAGATAATAAGGATTTGGTACAATTATGGGCTTAAATTGGCAACCCAAAATAAGAGTAGGAAAAAAGGGAAAATGAAAGAAAAGCACTACCTCTAAGGCACTAACATAACCGCATCAAGAATTCAAGGGCATGTTTGGTATGCAATGTTGAACCGTATAGAAGATAAGATTTTTGCCTTTTCTTTTCTCTGTCTAGTACTCTACAGTCGACCTTACCAAACATGCTAAAAACCCATTAAGCTTATACAGCAAGTTGCTGCTGCTGTTGATGTGACGATTCATCTTCATTGAAACACAAATGGAGGTTTGATGATCGTGCTGTTAATAAGGAGGGCTTTGCCATGTCAAGATAAGGCTGCATCATCATCATCTCTCTTTGGAGGTATGAACAATACGCATAAAAAGTGTTGGGTTTCACATTCAAGTTGAATCCTAATCCAAATAGAAAATCCACTTCAAGAAAGTTCATCTCAGTTGTGCTGATTCCTCCAACTTTAGCATAGTAAGCATTGTTGTAATATCTGCATATTTTATGGCCCACAAAAGAAAAATATGAGTCATGTTGATACAATACAATTACCATACTTCGAAATGGTACACCATAGTAGTTGACAGTACAATGAACAAGATAAAAACAAGTTATGTATATCGATTATACACAATGTCTTGTTGTTTCTAAATATTGTCTAGTACTATATAGTGGACTTTACTTAACGAATTCCAAAATATTGAAATAAGTGGTCCAATTTTGCATGCATTAATTATACTAATGGTATATAAGTGGAATTACACATGATTATGCATAATGAATTATTATAAGTCATTGTTGGAATGTAGCTTTCAGATATGAATGTTTGATTTAGACCCTTTATACCACAATGAGTAGCTGTCTAATTTGAAGCCTAAAAGTATATAATAAAAAAAATTAATTGAAAGCTGTATTGATTTCTTTATTGATAGATCTAACTTATTATCTTCTTCAGATGATCAAGATTTCAACTCAAAGCAATCAATCACAAACCCCTAATTGGGAAATTTAAGCATTGGGTCCCTGTACAACATTAACCATAATCGAAGTCGACTACATGAATCATTGATCAAATTTTCTTTTTCCAGAATACGAGGTGAAATTCGATGAAGACAAAGAACTAGGATCACAATTAAGAAATCAAAAACACAACACAGCCTTAATTCCAAGAAAATCGAATAAAGGATCTGAATTTTCATATTCTTCTGGATCAAACTCGATTTACCAAAATCAAACTGAACTCCAAAATAATCTCCAAGAAAAATATTATAATAATAACAAAATTACTTTAAGAGAAAACTTTACTTGTCATCCATGAATTTTGCAGCTACCATAACACTAGTAATGAGCAGGCGATGAACATTGAAAGAGTTTATTGGCAAAGCCGGCTGGCACTGCGTGAACCGATCAAGATACACATAAGCAGCAACATAACAACAAGGGCTACAATTTGCATACTTGAAAATTCTGTCCAAATAAGTCTGAATTGAGATGGTTGGTCGAGTTAGGCCGTGAAAGACAGAGATTTTCTGGGTTTGGAAACTCGGGTTGAGATCGTTCGACTCGGCCACACGGCGAAGGAGAGAAGAGAGGAAGGATATGAGTTTAGACATCACATTTGGACTCTCCAATTCCGCCATTGTTGATTTGAAGGTGAATCTTGCAAGAAGGTTATGATGTTGAATATATAAAGGTTTTTTTTCTTCTTCTTCTTTGTGCGTATCTAACAACCTGTACAGTGGTCGTTGGTTTGGCAAGTTAGTCGAGTTTACGGAAATGCACCTGGAAATTTAAAATATGGCTGCAGCGTCCTTCTGCATAGTGTAGTGATGTGTTAATGGTACTTTTCTCTTCTTTTCTTTTTTTGCCTCACGTTACAGTGATTCTTTAACTTGAAATTGAGCTGTGAAAGAGGGAAACAATTGATTACTCTATGGGCTGTGTTTCTTGATGGGAAAGCAAAAAGGAAAATAATTTATAAATTATAAGTAGGGATGATAAAATGTTCAATCTCATTTTGCTCAGGATTTGGAGCAGGGCGGGGGATGGAGAACATGATCCTCGCTCCAACTCTTTTTTTTTTTTTTTTATGTTTTTAAATTTTAATTATATTTAAAAATAAATAAGTAAACAAGATGATAAATAATGATATTATGAATCTCACCTTATTAGCATCCTTAATTCTGAAGTATGACAAAGTAAAATACAGTTGAAAGATAAGTATAAACTAATAATGTGTATAAATATGTAGCATGGTGAATGTGAGGTGAGGTGAGGTGAGGAGAGGAGACAACCCACGTTAGTCATTTGTGTTCTTATTATAAAGCACGTTTGTCGTATGCATAGATAGGAGCGCCAATGAATGACTCACAAGATTTCAACTTCTTATTTTCTATAGTTTTGCTTCTCTCTTAAGTGGTCTAATCCAAAATTTTCTCCTCACTTCGATAAGTCGATCGAGTGCCATTCTTTCCCTTTAAATATTGTGATCATATCAAAAGAAAATATATTTATCAAAACCAAGATGTTCAAATACATATATGCCTTTCATTGAAATTATTATTATTTTAAATCTAGGGAAACATCATCAAAACTTGTTCAAAATCCAATTGAAAAAGGACCAACACTTTTTTGGATTACTGGTCAGCCTCATATACAAGAAAATGGAACAAAGTGATCCAGTACATTACTACATATCAATACGGCACTATTGCACAATTATGTGACACATAGTGAGAACTTGTTTTGATCAATTATTTTAGCAGAAAAAATCCAAAAAAGAAAAATAAATATGAGTCGTTTTTAGTATTCTTATGTTTAAATCAGTGATTAGATCTGTTACCAAATCCTTGAGCTCAAATGCTAGATTTGAAATTTAGGTAGTGTTTGATAACCTCTAATTCCATTGAAAATGGAAATTCATTTCCACATTTTGCCAAAAATGAATGTTTGATAGGTAAAATTTTTTAGGGAATTCATTTTCCATAATTCTTGCCACCTAAGCAATTTTCTCTCTTTTCCTTGAGTATTCCAATACCGGTTTACTGTAGCGGATTTTTTTTTTTTTTTTTTGGGTGGGGACAATGGAAACAAATTCTAAGAATAATTGTAAAAAAATATTTTCCTTTAATTGATAATTTTCATTAAAACAAAGCCAAACGAATATCAAATGAAAAAATGACTTTCTAGAATTTTTTTTTTTTTTTAAGTTGGCAATGGAAACGAATTTCATCCCTAATACCAGTAAAATTTATCCCTTTAATTGATAATTTTTATGTAAAATAAAGCCAAACGAACATAAAAAAACACTTTTATTTCAACATTTTTCACTTGAAAAATTATACCAATTAAAAACCATAATTTACAATTCCCAAGAAAATAATTTCTACGCAATTCAATTCCCTGAAATTCGTTTTCAATTCAATTCAATTCCATATTTACAATCAAACGAATCCTTAGTTTCATCTTCTACTCCATATGGAAAGGTGCAGCAACTTTTAATTAAATATCTATCAAAAATGTGGTTTACACTAAATTTAGTTAAAAGTAATGATCTGAGGTGAAAAATCAGAACCAAACGGGGCTTACTACTGGCCATATAGTCAGATTTCCTTAATACTAGTTAAATACTAGAAAGGAAGAAAGAAATGCAGGAAATCCAATTGGTCATTCAATGCTGAATAGAGGGGGTCCAAAATTTATGATCATTCACGCTTAAAAGCCTTGAAATATGACCGTTCATTAACAAAACTTGTATGTGTTTCGTGTAGGCCCCTAAAAATTTAAACGCTTCGAAACAAGCCAAAAAGGTATTTCCGAGTTAGTAATTCGACGAAACTTAAGCTCTCTCACGTGTATTTTCTCATGCGGCACAGTTTATTGGGTATGGACATGTTATTAAGCCCTGACACATGGGGATTAAAATCAAAATTTTAATTTAAATCAAAGTCAATAATTAATTTTAATCATATATTCGATGGAATCTATAACTTTTCAATCATACATTTCATTAATTTTTATTATAATTTACTAAGAATCTAATTTTAATTTCTATCAAACATGTGGTAATTTTAGTTTCTATCAAACATGTAGCCAAAATTAATTATCAATTTGCTTATTAGAATCCAAAATCCCACATCAATATTTTACTCCAATTACGCCTTGCCACCGACGAAACCCTATGGCCACAACCAACATCATCCCACGTGGAGCTTATTCAAGGACGAAACCATATGGCCACAACCAACGTCATCAATGTTTGACCAAAGTCAAAGATTATAAAATAAAGCTTAGGCTAAGCTATGTTGACCCAAGCCCATTCAGTGCAAAAGTGAAAAGTAAAGAGTTGTCAAAGCCCTTATTGCCGAAGCCGTAACAATTTAGATACTCAATCCGAAGCTCACTTTTGTTATTGAGTGACCCATATCCGCCAAAGATCTCTTATGGATAAAAATTTTATTCGAATGATTGATATGACATGTCATGAGAGAGAAGTCAAATTTTGTCAGTCTAGATTGTAAAGTGATTGCCTTTTTAACGATTAAATGAACCACATGCTAGTGAAGTTAAATTTATGTCCATGATAAATCATCTAAGCTAAGGAGATGAAGCCACGTGCTACTTCATCGGATGGGCACCACTTCATTTGTAACACTATATATAAATATTTCTCCTTGTATCATTTGAAGGCTAATGCAACTCCCTCCTCCTCCTCCTCCTCCTCCTCCTCTCTCTCTCTCTCTCTCTCTCTCTCACATATCGTTTGAGTTAAACGTTTAGCCTTGAATTTGGTTACTTTTGATTTTTCTTCTTTATACAACTCTGTTCATATATGCCATCGACGCTCAAACATTTTTATCTCGCCTCAATAAAGTTTCTTCCACGTCCAAATCAAAATACCTCTATAACTAGTGACCCATTCAAACGTGTTGGAATTAGCTTGCGCAGGCGTGAGTGAGCCCCACATTTGTTGTCTACGTATCCACGTAAAATGAGGGTCAATAATCCCAATAGTAACTTGGGAGAAAATTGCCTAATTTGGTAAAGCTACTCTTACAAAGTAGCTTTACAAAAGTGAAGATACCAAGTGTGTTGACAAAATATAGACCACTGATTTGAAATGATTTAAAATTTTGTTTTTGAAATGATTGGTGTGGATGTTATTTTGTAACCCAACTTTGTAACCTAACTTTGTAAGTGTAGCATGACTCATCCAAATTTGCTATACATTCCTTTCCTAGAGGAGGATTATACTTGAGTGGCCTCATATAAGTCCAACAATTATGGCAATAGTTTATGGTAAATGTATTTTATGCACTTATTGAGGTCGTTAAATGTAAACATTTAAGAGTACTTTTGATAAATTATATTTTAATCTCTTTTATATATTGTTTGTTGGGTGAAATTCAATGATTGGAAGAGAAATTCGAAGAATGAAAATCGATGAAAAATAAGAATTTTCAGAATTCAGGGACCAAATTATTGATATCTAAAAGTTAATTCCGATGAAGAATGAGGATTGAAGACTACACAAAATTAGTATGATATAATGGGAAAATGAAGGACCAAGATTTCATGAAGAAATGACTTCAGTTGAAGGAAGAAAATTGAGGACCAAATTGCAATATCGCACAAGAAGTTACTCCATGTGATCTCGTGGAGTAAATTCCTTGCAATTGCAACACTTTTATTTGACCAATTCAAGAGCAAATTGAGGAAGCGATGTGATCATAAATTGGCGATTTTCTAGTCGATGGGATCATTTTCTTATTTTATTAAGCCTTTGTTTGAGCTCTATTTTTTCATTAAAATATATTTTTCAATAGTAATTTAACACATTTTAACCACACATTTTTCAATAGAATCATATTAAACACAAATCTAAAATTTTTCTTTATTTTTTAACCATATCTTTCCCATAAATACACTATAAAAAATACTTCTTTTTTTTGGCAAGAATGGGGCTCAGACAAGGGCTAAAACTCTTTATAAAAAGGACTTTTGACGCTTTTCTTGACCTAATTGTAGCCTCCTTAAACATAGAACTCGGAGAACAATTGAATATACCCCTCATAAACCGATCATACATTTTACATATCAATTCATATCATAAAATCTTATAAGGAAAATGAGTCGAGTCACCACAAATTGGAGATAAGAACAAGATTAGCAAGTAGATTGAATCAAGAAATATCAATGACTTGAAGAATTAAAGCTTGAAATTGAAGACCAAGAACAAGAACTATATTCCATATATTTCATGTATTCATACATGTTAGTTTTTTAATTTGTATTGGCTATTCTTTAGACAAAAGGATTATTACAAAAGAATTGTAAAAGTCAATGAAATTAAATGGTTAGTTGTTTAGTTGGATAGGGAAATTAATTGGTTAGTTGTTTAGATGAACTGGGAGTTTTTGGGTTTGATTATGTAACATGGAGAAAGAGTCCCCAAATTTTTTAGCATGTCGTCAAGTTGATGCTCGAGCGTCCAAAATAGAAACATTATGGAACATGGAGAAAGAGTTCTATTTATCCTATACTATCCCCAGTACCTCTCAACTATAAATACATGAGCGCTATTTTGTGAAAATGGTGGTTGATCATTATTTTTTACATTTAAAACATCCTTTTGAAATCAAACAACAATTCTATATCTTGAGATCAATCAACTACAAGA